CCGCTATTATTTGCAGCCGGTTAATTTAAAAACAAACTCAGCGCACCCTTTGCATTATAATTGCTAATTTCACTTTGGATACAATAGGAATTCTGAATAGGACTGACACATGTTTGACTGCATATGTCAATACAAGTGGCATTTGGAATTGTTGGAACTGTGTGTGAATTCTTGTACCATTGAGTCAAAAAGCAATATAAACAGAATGTAGTAACATCCAACAGTGCACGGTGTACAATTAACACTTGTCGACGGAATTTCCGATTTTAACAAGGATTTCTCTTTCTACAGTAAAAATTGGTTTAGACTAATCTTTACATCGCTAGATCAATCATATCACGGTTTCTCTAAATTGTTTTCTGATCTTTGTCCGTTTTCATTTCTCATGCTGTCCTGTCCAACCTGCACTGGATCTCACTCGTATGCGCATTTGAATACGCTGGATACGCCGCTGGGTTCGAATACTTTCCTGTAATAGCAAGTTCAGCGCTAAACAAAGCTGAAGAGCATACACACGCAAAGGTAAGATTAAAAAATAAATTTTAGACTCTCCCAGTTGAAAATTGAAATTCAAGGAGAACTGTACTCGAAAATTACCGAGTACTCTTCGAGTTCTTTCATTGCAAAAAAAAAATTGATGGTCTGGAGTCATCGTTTCATTTTGTAATCTTACCTTTGTGCATTTACGGTCCAGTACGCGTGTTATTCAGCTTTGTTCCCCCCAACCAGTTCAATATTTGACCGCAGCTCGGCACACCAAAGTACTCGACTACAACGCTGCTACTCCCCTATGTCGCAATCTGGGGAGAAGGGCCTGGGGCTTTAGCATTGTGAGGGGGTAAATTCCGGTTCGAGCCCTCCCTCCCCACGAAAAATCCTGGGTGCGTGCCACTGAGGAGGTCATGAGTCCCTGATAAATGTGCGGCAGGCTTGCAGATGCTGAAACTAGCTCCCTGGAGGGCAATGGTTGATCCTCGTTATCAGAACATACATCGTGGAGAACTGGAACAAAAAAGCATGCAAACAAGACGCGTGCATGGGTGACCCGAATGAAACTACATATGAAACCTAAACAAAGGCTATCTAGTAAACTCATGAAAATGTTTGCGAGGGCTTTTTTGTTTTATTTTTTCATGTTATTGGATTGTTTGTTTGGCTGTTTGTTTTGTGATATGCAGGCCCGCAGTGTTGATATACAGAATGTTAAAAGTTCCCGTTTTATATTATTTTATTTAGAGAGGATGTAGGAGCTGAAGCTGCACCATTGCCTTTTGCATGGATCAGGTTTCAGAGTTGGATTCAATTTTCTCCCCCAGCCTCTCTCATTAATTTGTTCAAAGTACAGTCTAGATACTGGTAGACCTGAGCACTCTGCGTGTATTTACGAGCCTCTGACTCTATTGACCTTTGATACAAAGGGCCGAATCTGCATATTCCTCCGCTGTGGCGACTGTGCCAGTAACTGCTTGTCACTATCGCTACTTTTTGGCCCTAGTCTAAATTGGCCCGATAACACAGAAATATACTCTTGATATTGTGTGATTTTAATATATTTTGTCGTTATTATTTAGGTCCCATTTAACATCCATGTTTATTACGACCATTAATGAAGTGATGCGAATTCGGTTATGCTTCTTATACTTCGTCTGTCTTTACTTTGATACGGTAGGCCTGTGTCCAGTGGTATACTCTTTCCTAAGGCCTAGGGTAAACGCTGTCCTATGCTATACCGTGCCGAAATTCAATCAATAGCGCGGCGTTTAGCACCAATTTGGCTTAGCAATTTGTGTTTGGCACGGCAAGCCAAAGGGTGTGCCGCGCCACCAGTGTTCTGAATGACACTGCTCCAATAAAGTTCGATGGTAAACGCAGCCACCCCGTTATTGCAGTATCACAGCCGCAGTGGTTTTGTTCAGTACGGCAAAAAAGCACGGCGGACATGCCTTATTCACTCCTTACCACCTCGCTCTTATTTGGTTGATTCTGCGCTGATTTGGCAATTTTTCGACGATTTGTCATCCGCAAAGATGGGAATTATAGGTATTTGGGCTAAAGTGGCTAAAGATAAAGCCTGTACTTTTGATCTAAGGAAAAGTAGGACAACGCATGGGCGTTGCCAGGATTCCCTCTGGGCGGGCAAAGCACCTTTTAGAGCAAAGTGACAAACCATCGAAGATGAAGTAGGCCTATGTTCCATTTCATAGTATTTTCAATAAAATTAGTGATTTTCAACCCTTTCCTCTTGTTTTTGTTTCTTTGCCTTTTTCTGTCCTCTCCTTTCAAATCGGGAAGGGGGCGCCCTTGTTAGGGCTTACATTTCCTTCATGCAAACGGTCTTTGGAGCGTTAGCAGTAGTACACTGGCCAATGTGGACTTTGATATTTTAAGATTAACTCATTATAACCATTGCAGTGGCCTAGTATCGTGCAACGCAGAGTCTGAAGCAGGGGCTTTTTCCCAAGGCTATGGAGTTTTCTGCCTGTACGGAATGCTGGATTTCAAAATTCCATCGATTAAAATTGCTTTGTCTACTTGTAAAACCGCGTTTTCCGTGCACTTTTCTTTAATGGTATAACAAATTTAAAATGTCAATCTATCCAAATATTGTATGTTTATTTGTTTTGTCGCCTTCGTCGTGGGAACGCTCACAATAACAAGATGCGGTTGTCATAATAAATGTGTATGCTATTTAAAGTGCTGTCTTTTGTCCCTGCTTTTCAAAGCATATCTCAAGATACCTTTGACCAGTGGCGCCTAGGGCTGAATATCCGCAGTCCAAAACTTTCATGACGTCTCTCAAAAACAAAAGACAGTTTATCAAATTTGGTTACGACGCTATTTACGAGTGTATTGCCGTCGTTATGTGAACGGATGCCACAACAAGTGCCGTCTCCACAACAGACATTGCATGAACAGATATCATATCGAGCAGTTTAACCCTTGAGCTCTCAAGTTCAGTCACATTAATCTGACGGTTTATTGCTAACACATTTAGGAGAATAGCTCTTGGCCTTTTGGATGAACAGGAAGGCGTAGATTAACAGTTATTTGAATTTTAGAGTGCTTGATAAAAAAATCTTGCAATTAACAGATAATGCAAGTGCAAATAGCAAGGTTTAAACCCTTCAAAGCTTGTGGGAATGCGCAAGCTCAGTGTTTACGTGCGTTTGTTTACCACTGAGGGTGACCATGGCAGCGTCAGAGTAAGCGATCCTTTATTGTGAAGATTTTAACGTCAAAATTGGTAGCAATTAAAACAACAAATTGATAACATGTCAATTTACTCACCTGAATTAAATGAAAAAGTTGGACACATTTTTAATTAGTTTTCAAGTTAAACCTTTGGAATCTCTATATTGGCTACAACAGGCACATTTGTTATTCAAGATAACAGATACCAAGTGTGTTAAATTTACACCAAAGTGAACATTTATTTGTTTTAGCCTATTGAAACGACAACAACGAAGCTCTTTCTCGCCTGTACATTTCAGTGTTAATTACTTTTCTTGTGAGACTGAAATCATGTTTACATGCATGGTTAAGTGCTGGTCGAATATTCCCAGAGTTCCCCCATGACATTTCAAGAACTCTTAACTCGCACTCCAAGGCTAGGTCTTCGGTGAGTTTATTCATGCAGTTTTTTGGATGCTTTGAACGTCTTGTTGGCTAACTTTCTGAGTTATACAGAAATAACCACAGGTATACCCACTACATTATGCATTTATTTTTTTTAAATCACGAGTCATCATTGCGGACAACAACGATGACTCTCAATTCGTCCCATGCGTTCGGGAACTAAATCCTTTCCGCCTCCACTGAAAAGTTTTGTCACGATTAAAAATTGACTGGTTATCATTTGACCACTGTTCAGTTTAAACACAACCGTGGGCGTCACCGGGATTTTTCTGGGGGGTACCTACTTTTTTCGAGGGGGGTTCCGGAGGTGAAATCATTCATCAGCTAAAGAAAACTAATCAATTGGGGAGGGATCAATTTTGAGGGATTTTTTAAAGCAAATTGACGTTTTCAGCCCCTTCCATTTCGTTTTTCTTCTCGTTTCTTTGGCTTCCCCCTTTTGTCTCTTTTATTTACGATGCATATGAACACAACTAACCCGTGTAGACGGGGGAAATACTGCCATCGCGAAGTAAAAATGAAAATTAGCCTGTGAAGTTCCTGTGGTAGAGGTTTATAGGATCATATTCTGGTTTATGTTTAATTAAGACCTCGAAATTTTCAGTCAGCATTGTTGTTTAACACAGCACGCGTAGTTGCAAAATCCATGAATTCCATTGAACTTCCCACATCAAGGGTGTCATTTCTCAGGACCTTTCCCTGATTTCAGGGATTATAATATGCATCGTCCCCAACCCAACCCTCGGACTTTGTAAAGAGTTTTCTTATCTCTACGTTTTGTTATATCTTGCACATTGCACAACCAAAATAAGTGTACATAAGGTCCACACAATTGCAGTCATTTGGGAGAGAATTCATTCTTTGATGGCTACCGTACTAAAAACCCAGTGAAAAATCAAAGTACTTTCATTGTTGTTATTATTATACAGCTCTTGTACTTGATGCTTCTTCAATTGCTCTTCATCTCCCGATCTCACCCTTGCTACTTGTGTCTGAAACCAAAAACCAAAAGAAAAGAAAAGAAACGGACCCAGTGTTGTAAAAAAACGAGCTCTGAAAGTTAAAGCCATCAAACACACGATATCCAACAAGAAAGCAGCAGATCACGGTAACCGACAAAGTAGACGATGCGATCGGGGTTGACGCATGTCAGGTTTTCTGCGCAACCACTCTTTACTGCACATTTCTCGTTGAATCATTTATCTGGGTAAATAATTAATTTTGTGGTAGTACTCTGTACTTATGGCTCAGTGAAGGTTCACATTTTTTTAAGGACACAGACCCTTCTCATTGCGTTTAACCTAATAGTTTAAAATTTAATTTCAGATGGGTCAAAAGTCAAATGTGTTGCCACAGCAATAGCAAAAACGCCAGCCGATGTTTGCGCTGAGGCGTAGGCCTTGCAATGTTGTTTTATGTTTTGGGGCGTGGTGGACATCGGCTGACCTGTCTTTCTTGGGCTCCATCCAGTCTGCGTATTTATTGCGCCAGATCGTTTCAAATGCAGGTAATACATATTGTTTCATTTTGTTCGGCTCGAAGCATTTGGGAATCTGCTATCTTGGAGGAGAGACGGCAGAAGCGCGCTCGGAATTCTGCAGCTTTCAAATTACGGTAGATCGTGAGAGTGTCCTATACATTGCGACGATGAGGACGGACGGGAAGCGACGATGGTTTACCATGGTGCTCTTGGCCCTTTGCCTGGGCTCCCGGACGGTTGAAGGCTCAGGTAAGACAGAACTGGTGTATATAGTAGGCTATAGCACGCTCCATCAAATTGCCTAAGCTTTACATACACAGTAAAAGTACAAATTGCGTCAATCCGTGTTGACAAGTGGGGATGGGAGATTGGGTGGGGATGATCGTTGAGGGTGGGGTTGTGGCGCTGGAAACCATGTGACTTTCATTGTGTTCCAAAGCATCCCCCCCCTTCCCGTTCCAAAATAAAGTTGGGTTTCGTGGTATCCGTGAATTTTTCCAATACCATGAAATTCCCTGGAATATTTATATTGACACTAAAGTTAACCCAAAACGTAGGCCTATGCCTAAATATCTCTTTCTTTCTTTCTTTTTAAGTAACGATATATGTTTTTGGACATTTTACATTAAAAAGATATAATATCTTTTTATATTATCTACGTCAGAGCTCAGGTCTCAGCTTTTGTTTTTCGGTTTTTTTTTTCTTTTAATTTTGTTTTGGTTTGTTTTAATGAAACTCATTAATATAGGACGTATGAAAGCATTTTTGGCTGCGCAAATCAAAACTAGCTAAAATGGCGCAAAGCAATTTAGGCTTGATTGTTGAAAGTCATTAATTATGAAATGAAGTCCAATATGAGCGAGGTAATATTCTGTAGTCTACCCATCTTCCGACCGATCAACCGATATCAAATCTTATGCTGGCGTTTTATTGAGTTTCCTTTTTACTATATGTGCTGCCCCTGACCCCTGTATTTTTTTCAGGTAAGAAAAACTGACCGCCTTTACTCATTTCTACGGAAGCTGATTTTAGGACATGACTTTAAAAAACGTATGACCCACAATTTTGCTCGGGCGGATTACTATTCCGGGCGGATTAGTATTTCGCCCGGGCGAAATAGTGGGTCAAACCTTTTTAGTTATGTCCTAAATATGCTTCCCTATATTTCCTTGCTCAGGATGGCTTCAAAACAAATTTGCGATAAACACAAACACATGACAGAACAGTCAGTACATGGACGTTTGAGACAAGAGTTCCATCATTTTAACATTCGGTTATTGATTATGAAAATCTGCTATTGGTAGTAATTCGTATCGTGTCACCACACAGAATGAGTGTCAATTAACTTCTGTTAACTGATAATTTACTAATAAGTAAGATAGATAATTAAACTATTTTAATATTAACTGAATATAAATTAAGGCTTTGAGAGCATATGGCAAGTTGTCTTTTTGTTCTAAATGCGCACGCGCTCGATCGACCACAGGAAGGCTGTCGCCCGGAAAAGGGTCTCTCTTTTCACAAGCGCATTGCGAACAAACACGCTATTTTATCAACCACAGAAGGCCCTCATAAAAAGTTTGTAAAAACGTGCATGAACAGCCAACAGCGTTACCGCGCGCCAGCCAATGTACGCAGTTGATTCCGTAACTTGATGGGTTTTAGAGTAGAACAGTGAAAATAAAAAGTTGTACAAAGTCGATTGGTTGATAGCTGTTGGCTGATTTAATGAAAGCCAGCCACCGTTCGAAGAGCGTAAAGAGGCTAATGTCATGGGGTGACAGGTGGAATGTCCACTAAGCCGTGTCGTGAGGGGTAGAATTTTGTCTGTTACTGTATGTAGTTATTCAGACTGTTTCACTCATAAAATTAACTATTTATCTGCAAATGCCTTGGTAAAAGCCACTGGCACTTTGTGGGAACAAGAGAGGACGTGCTTTTACATGAAAATGACCGCCCTTTGGGTAATCCCCACGTGCGAGCACAGATTTTTGGCGCGTTTGTCGCAGAGTACGCGCAGCTAATGCATATCCCTGAGTGTGCGATCCTCTCAGGGCCAGGGCTGTGCGTAATGGGGCGCGAGGCTAAAGCTCCCAGACTCAAGCCTGGCAGGTTGGCGTTGCCTGGTTTTTATAAACCTCTCTCATCAGTTTGCCTACAATTTGAATGAGCGGCCAAAGTTCGCAGAAAATTACCCTTGGTTTGGTTTTCTATTCGACCTCAAATTCATTCACACCGTACGATGTACATTCGTCCAATTAATCTTAAAAACGGTTGTCTTTTCATTCAGCTTGTATTCAACATGGTTAGCCCAATCAGGTGTTTGGGTAGCTGCTTGGGGTCTTTAACACTAAAAGAGCAGCCTCCAGCTCGGCCACAGACTGTCCTGCTTTTACCGGTGCAGAAGTTTACCTTTGACACCCGCTTTCGTAATATTGTCAATGTCAGTTGCGACCGAGTGATACAGTAAATTGGATTTCAAGCTTGATATTGATTCCCGAGTCCGAGCCTACACATTTGTATTGTTGCCGCTGCAAAAAGGAATGTGTAGAAATGTACAATGGTGGTTATTCCTTGAAGAAGTTGGAGTGAGATTCGTAAGTTAACGCGGAAAGTTCAGCCCCAAATTCCGTACTCATTGGTTTTTTTTCTCTGCAGCGCCAGTTTTCAAATCAGGCCGTTGTGAGACCATAATAACGCAGCCAGATACGGAAGAAAATGAAGCAACGGTGTATTGGGCCTTCCCTCTTGCGACAAACAGTGATGGCAGCAAGCCAGCTGCAGTGACCTGTGATAGTGCTCCTGGCGCAAAATATGGAGGTGACACTCTCGTCACTTGCACTGCAACGGACCTCGACACTAAAGCTACGGCACAGTGCTCATTTCAAGTTCGTGTGTGTGAGTATTGTGGCAAATAAATCACTGCAGTACACTTGTTGATGCTGCAAAACTGTCATGTCTTTGCAGCGCCAACTTTTGATTTTCAACTTTTGTTTTCACTCAGCCACTTCCACAAAATGTTGGTTATAACACCTCACTGTTTTTTTAATTTTTTTTATTCCTCCATGGTCTATTATTGCCAATGTAGTTACAAACGGCAAACCAGAATAATCCAACAAAAGATTCAAATCGCGTGTCATCACAGACAATTAAGTTATTTTTAAAAGTTGTTCGTGTTTTCACAGTTGTCTTGCATAGGCCTACTCTGTAAAATCGTTACCCACAATCATATTAAAACTCTTAAATCCCAGGGAATCTGCTTTACAGAATATTGTGAGATTTTACTGCATTGGATTTTGTATTGAAAGAGACCGGTCTCATGTACATGTACGAGTCTAGAAAACAGCTTTTGTTAGTTGTAACATATATACCCCAAGTACTTGCATGCTGATGCTGAATACACAAATGCACTTTTGTCAAGCAGTGTTTTTGCAGTGCATTACATGTTCATTCCCAGTGCAAACAAATTTACAATTCATGGATAAAGTGTTTTTCTTTAAAGCCCTTGTTTAATTGTCTCAAAAGAAAAGACTTGTGCACAGATTCACAGCAAATGGAAACTTTATGCACCAATGTGAGTAGCATGTGCAAATACCAGTAAACTACTACACCATTATTAAAGGTGGCTGTTTTATGTTGTTCCCAATATGAAACTTACTCTCTAAAATGTAAAAGCTCACATGTACCGTAAGTGGTTTCTTCACTTTATATTCAGCTGTAGTGAAATCTTTTTGTACCCAGGAATTGTTCGAGAATGTAAGAAACTTATATCAGGTATAATAATATAACTTCTGTGAAGTCATGCAATCATGCAATGTGTTTCAGATAATACTTGCTGTTCAGAAATAGTGACTTAGCAAATCTGCAAAGAACATCTACTGACACACAGGATGGTCAGCAGATTTTTCTCTCTTCTTATACTGTAAGCAGAAATGAACACAGGATTCTCTATGAAATCACAAGATTGTTTACCGTGTAGCTGTACCCTCCGTTGTTAGAATCCGGTATTGTCCAGCCACTAGGCAGAGCATTATATTGCCCATTACTGTGAGTCTGTCAGTTCTTTTCAGAAAATCACCAACTGCCACCAGATCAGACTTAAAAACTTCCTTTCTCCCAGTCAAGTTCATGTCCATTAGCATTGGAGGGTTATTACTTGGAACTTTTTAATGCACTTTATTAAGAAGAAAATGGCGACTGAATCACCACTGATTACCGATCTCACAAGGCTACAGAACAGACAGCAGGGATGCGCATGCATCACGTTTGATGTCATATGAAATAACGTTACTAACTATATTCATGGAAAAGTCTCATGTGGTAATAGGCAAATCCAACAAGGTTTCCACTGGACATTTTGAAAGGCCTCCCTAAATGGCAGAAAGCGTTGTATTGGAAACTTGGAAAATTTGTTGCGTGGAGCAACTGTCGTGGTCATACTGGTGCCACCACTGGCAATATGGACAATACATTACTGCTAATGACCCGTGATAGCAGTTTTACCATCTGACCATGGTCACCAGATTCATCGAAGCCCTGTAGATGTTTTTCACGTCACATAACATAACGTAAGAGGCAAAGTCATTCAGAAAGCGTACCATGTCCATGGAGGAGCATGCATTAACGTGTATTTCAGTTTCCAGTACACCAGAATGCTGAGGGCCTTTTTCGCGCACATCCATGCAAATTAGGAACTGACAATCAAAAGCTACGTGACTGAAAACAAACTGGTTTCTGGTTTGAATCTTCAAGAGCCTAAAGGGTGCCTTTTTCCTTTCATGTATATTCTTTATTTGATTTGATAAAGTATTTCTTCACGAAGAGATGAATTTGACTTTTGGTTATTCTTACTAGCTTGGGGGGACTTTTTTCATTAGAAGCCTATTATATATGTGTTCTATAGCCTGACCAAGAATGAAGCATGTTCATTATTGCTGAAAGTTCTGTATATTGTAATTTGACCAGCAGAATTAGAAGGCGTAACTGCAGTGGCACAGCACTCGTGGACAGGTGGTACGCGCACGTTACATGCCTCTTCGACTAATAGGGTGTCATGATTTGCCAAATGCATGCACGCGTGCGTCAAGCTAAAGAATGTGCATGTGAGTGCTGTGCCACCGCAGTTATGGCGTCTAATTGGATTAGTCTGTAGCCTTGGGGAATTGGGGACTAGATCCCATATTACATGTAAATGCTTATCTCCACAGATCCAACATTCAAGACAGGTTGCCCGGCTGATGTCGCATTTAATAATGGCGAGGAAGTCAACCTTGACAAACTGGGCAAACCTGTGGCAAACAGAGACATTGATGATGGTGAACCACCCTCAGTATCTTGCAGCCCGGATCTATTCCCGGATGATACATCGACAAAAGTCAAATGTGAAGCCACAGGAGATGGTTCAAGAAAGGTTACCTGTACCTTTAAGGTTACAAAAGGGTCGGGTAAGTCAAAGCTATCAAGGAAATTTCCTCTTACATTTTGAGTCTGCAATGTTTTGATCATGCATATACTATGAGGTAGATCCCATTAGTGCTACATACATGTACAATGTACACTGTAAAATGTAAATTTAGATATGAGAAGTGTTTTTAACCAGAAATGAATGCCTCCATTATCCCCTGTCCCACTGTAATTGCGATTAACGTGTGTGTGTGCATAAAAAATGAATCCTTGTTGCTAAAACCCCTTTGGTTCTCACCTAGAGCAGATGTACGGAGGACATCTAAATTCACCTGAAGCCCCTGATGATAAATCCCTGTCAATCTCAGTGATAAATTGCAAATCATGGATGGAACATGGATTATTTGGACCAATGCATGGCACACAGTAGAAACAGTGTCGTGCAGTAGAACCGCACAACAGCTCTTTTGGATTGAGCGGCTGTAACACAGCTCTTCACACAAAACGGTGCACAGCTGAAGATAAGCGTCAAGCACTGGCCGGTCCTTCTTTTAACCGATACAGCAGAAATTTCTAAGCTCATAAGTGATGCATCACTTGCTATCAGGCTATTGCTTCTTATATGCTGCCAAATGTTGAGAGAAATTTGCAGAATATCCACGTAGTACATGTATTCACTTTGTGAATTTTATGTGAGACTCAAAATCATGACTTGAACACGAATGGAATGTTTTATCATGCATTATATTTTACAACACGAAACGAATTTTTGAAATTCTTGAAAAGAAAAAGAGATTTATTGAGGTGAAAGAATAAATGTTCTATCTGTTCCCATGAGCTTTGCCAGCAGAGTATAATATACTAATATTATTAACATTCAATCTTTCACCTCAAGAGATTATATTCTCACCGTTGGCACTCATAAACATTCATTGTTCGTTTATGCTACTTCCAGGCTGCTGTCACAATGCTTTTTGATCCAGATTGTTTTCTCAACTGAACTTTCCACGTATACTTTTCAAATTGTCATCATATTGTTTCAAATTCCCATCAGTACCAACCTTTAACAACAAAGGTTCATGCAATGATGACACCATTGTAACTCAGCCAGATATTGGAAAAAACATAGCCTCAAGCATCTCCTGGACGGAGCCAACCACAGCGACTCCAGGAGCTACCGTTAAGTGTGACCCAGACCCCAATAATTATGCATTTGTTGGCGGGGATACCACTGTGACATGCAAAGTCACAGATGGCAGTAACCCGGCCCTCTTCTCTGAATGCAGCTTTGATGTGAGAGTGTGTAAGTATAGCAGAATGTCAGTTGTGATAGGTTTGTGGTAGTATAATGTGAAATGCTTCTCTCATCATGAATTTGTGTGGTTCTGAAAAGACAAGGGTACTCATTGGAGTCACACATACATGTACATGTACTCACAAAAGAGACATTTTGCATAGTGCTACTGCAAACCTGTTTACTTGTCACCTTCACCATAAAAAACATTAAGATTCCAAATTGAGTCTGTGTGGCTTAAGTAAATCTGACCCTGCCTGTAGTGCTCTTGACATCAGGAAATTCACTGACATGGCAAATTTTTAGATGTTGTATGAGCATGAGTGTTGGAATTACTCGAGCTGGCTTAGCATACACATGTGTATATACGCATTTGTATTTATGTAGTCTACGAAGCATGTTGACTAAGAATTTGCTGGAGTTTAAACCAATAAGGATAGATTAAGAGTGCACAGATAAGCGAGTGTACAAGTTTTTCTGTTGTGTAGGTCAAGTATTGCAATTGTGACAATATTTGAATACTCAGTTCATGCTATTTTAATTAGCAATATTTGCCTTGCTTGAGTCTTGCTTGAAACATCCAGTTACATTCAAGTCCAAACCACAACCAAAATCAAAAACTTCAAATAAAATATATCAATTTCAAACTACATGTATAAACTTCTTCTGTCTTTCATTTTGTTTCCTTTCCTCATATCATCAAGTTACAAAATGTCCAAGTACATTAAGCCTTGTTACCCAAATTGTAGTAATTTTATCATCTGTGGAAGAGATTTTGGTTTGTTTAACCCTTATCTCCATAGATCCAACATTCAAAACGGGTTGCCCGGCTGATATTGCATTGGCTAATGATGGAACACCCACCTTTGACGAACCTGTTGCAAACAACGACATCAATGATGGTGCGGCACCCTCAACAACTTGCATGCCGGGTCTATTCCCAAATGGTGTAACAACAGAAGTCACATGCACAGCCACAGGAGCTGAGTCAAGAAAGGTTTCCTGTACCTTCAAAGTAGCACTAGGAACATGTAAGTAAAGGGTTTG